GTGTTCGCCGGAGGATGTAATCGTGCCTCAAGGTATCTCCCCAAAGCATCCCACACATATTCTATGGGTTAATCTTAATGGGGTTTAAATCAGGATAGTATGTTGGCCAATCCATTCGAGTGATATCTTCACTTTTCAGTAGCTTCTGAACAGCAGGAGTGCGGTGTGGCCATGCATTTTCATCCATAAAAAACGAAGTCTGGTCCAATTGCACCTCGAAACAGACGCACATAGGGAAGGATCATTTCCTGACAATAGCGATCTCCGGTTACAGAACTTCTGTCGAAAACTTGGAGCTCTGTCCGCCCGTTCAGCATAATGCCTCCCCAGACGAGATCTCCAAGACACTGTGATGTTATTGAGATTAAACCGTGCCCTTACCTCTCTCCAAATAAGTTGGCGTTGAGAATCGCTTGGGGCACTAAAACGACTCTCGTCCGTAAGGAGGACACGACTCCATTGATGAGATGGCTAGTTTTTGCGCTCCTTGCACCACTCTAAACGGTGGCGCCGATGGTCAACTTTCAAAGGGATGCAGCGTTCAGGACGGCGGACGAATAGGCCATCTTTATGAAGGACACAGTAAACCACAACAATTGTTGCTGAGCTGTGGAGCTTGCTGACGGGTTTTGTTGGTCTTTTTGCCTGTAGGACGATATATCGGTTATCTGCTGCAGTTGTTGTCCTGGAGCGTCCACCACCAACATTTCTAGTAGCTGTACCTATGGTGTGGAAAGCTTTCCAAGCCCGCGAAACGACACTTTTGTTGACTTCGAAATCTTCAGCCACACTGGTAACACTACGCCCCTCTTCCAGCTTTCCGATCATTCTTCCACTCGTGAAGTCATCCAGATGATTTCTTCTAGCCATATTTCAAGAAAGAAATCCTTGCATTTGCAGCAAATGTCTTTAATTGGTCTTCGTCCTTCCTTTTATGGTAGTCTCGAGTGGAGAGCACACGTTTTGCGTACGATCGTGTAGCCTGTGATGTTTTTCCGGACGTCTGCATATGCATGACCTTTCTACTGAATTGTGTGTTCATTGTACTGATAGCAAGAACCCATTTTCTGCAACTGCATGGTTATCTGATTAAAATTTGCATTGTTGCTTAAGTTTTGCACACCAGTGTATTTCTTTTAGTATGTTACTATCATTCATATGAATAACATACGCAACCCAGTTGAGGCTTCTTATTTTAATTTAATGAACATTTAATGGCAGATACTGGCTCTTTGAACATTCGGTATAATTCAGTGTTGCATATTCTATGCCAGATACCATTTTCCTGAATCATCCAAAAACTACTCAAGACATTGCATTCAGAAATACCCAAGATCCCTTCCTCCTTCATGGTCGTAGTCTAGGTCTAGGAAGTATAAGTCAGGACGAAACAGATTAGGGTGTTGTAGAGTAATAATGTTATCTCTCCAGATAAAAAGCTTGATCTAAATAAACGCTTTATCAGCTGCAACAATACATTTCATTATTTCAGGTAGAATATCATTGTTTTTGTTAAACATCAGTCCCAAGTAAATGAAATCTGTAATCATTTCAAATTTATAATCCTCAATTAAGAGATGAGTTGGGGTGTAAATATTTCCAATACAGTGGAACCTTAAGATACAAGTTTAATTCGTTCCAAAATTGAGCTCGTATAGCGAATTTCTCATATCTAGAAACAAACTTTTCCATTGAAAATAATGGCAGTCCAGGTAAGCCGTTCCGCAAACCTAAAAATATCAATATAAAAATCAATTTTTCTAATAGATAACATTGGTAAATATTATAACTGTAGTTTACCTTTATGATAATTTCCGACAAAGTATAGTTTCCAACACCGAATCTCCTTTTAACTGCTTCTCGTTAATCCACACCAACAACAGCTGCTCAACATCTATGAGTTTTGGGCATTTGCTTGGAAGCAACGGTAATTCCTTGGCCATATCAGGTTTCTTAATTTTTTCCTCCTTCTTCAGAGTAGTGCAGATCGTCAATATCCGAACGGCCGTAAGTCTTTGCTAATTCCTTCACTCTTATACCGTGATTATGTTTATCTATGATTTTTTTCTTAATTTCAACGGTCATGGTTCCTTGTTTTTCTTTGCAGCACTATCAGTCTTCAACAATCTTCTTGGGAGACATTGTGAAATAATTATTTTCACATTAAATGTAAGAAAAAAAATTAATTCGCAACCACGCAAATATGTAAATCAAAGAACATCGAGTGATCTGACAAGGGGATTTCCCGAGTCAAGCCGGATCAGGAAGTGGCGTCACGCATACCAACAGCCTGGCTTATTGCTCGTTCCGTCAATGCTCATGTTTAGAGATGAATTTCTCCCCTCGTACTTTCCTCGTATATAGAGGTGCTCGTATCTCAAGGTTCCACTGTAGTACTCATAGATTTAGTTTTATCTCATTTAATAATATGGCTCACTGGTATAGCTTCCCTTTCAATAGTTTTAAATCCTTCTGTTAAATATCTTTTGCTTCTGACCACCAGTGCTATATCATCTGCAAATGCCAGTACTTGAACAAATTTTCTAAAAATACTGCCCCTGGTGTTTACTTCAGACTTCCTGATGACCCTCTCCAGCATAGTTTTAAATAAAAGGCATAAGAGGGCATTTCTTCGTCTAATTTTTTTATCAACAAGGAAACCACTACAAAAGTATCTTTGAATCAGAACCTTGCCGAAAGTCATACAGTCAAAAGTCTGTAATCCGGACTCGTCGGGACTTCGGCGATTCCGGATTATAGATCATCAGTTTAAATCTGGTAAGATGGCATGCAGAAATTATAAAATTAAAAATATGAAACTGTAATTTATGAAATAAAGAGCAATTATGATCTAAAGGGTATCAGGATTTACAAAAAAAAAGTTTAATATTTATTTGTTTACTTTATTAAACATTTCTTTCAATGTGCGCATGCGTAAAGCATACATTACGCATAGTTGAAATTAGAAAATTGCAACCAGAAAACTATTTGTTGTGTATTCGTGATATTTATAATGATGAGGAATTTGATTTAAATCATATCAAAGACTAAGTACATCGAGATGAAATGCTACATTTTGTAAGGAATTATAAGCCAAATAAAATAAAAACATCTGCCTTGAAGATAAGGATAGTGCTGACAGATCGAATTCCAGTTCATTGCGCGCCGTGACGTTCCCCCCCCCCAAAACTTAGTAGCAAGTGGTACTAAGTTTTCTCCAAATTACTGTATTTGTAATGAATTTATCATTTTACAGTTTTGATAAACCAAAGAATGTCCTTTATATATATATATATATATATTAGGCAAACAACACATATAAGCCAATCTTCTTGCATCTTCTGACTCGATCCGTGTACTTTATAGTTTTTAAGCTCCTTAACAGCAGATAATATTTCCTGCAAACTTGATGGTACCAATTGACTGGAATTGGCCAAGGTATCTTCCTTTGTAATGTCAAAAGGTTTAGAATTTTCCCTACCCTTTAAATAAGTTCTCAAAATACTCGACCCATCTTTCAGAATTCGAGAATTTTCACTGAGGATGCCACCTCTTTTATTTCTACAAAAATTTATTCTGGATTTGAAATCTCATCGACAGTAGCTGACCTACTGATAGAATGCATGGAACTCATTGGTCTTCTTCAGGTGATTAGCATCCTTAAATCTATTTTCCTCAAAAGCTTTTCTATTAGCCCTAAGAATCTCCTTTCAATTTTTCTGTGCCTCTTAGTATTATTCTGCCATATTTCTAGTTCTATGTTGCAATGTTCTTTTGTATGAGACGAGTTTTTGTTCATTTGCAAGCCTACATTCTTTTAAATCTCCATATTAAACTAAATTTCTTTGAGCCTTATTTAATGTAGTGCATTTGAGACATATATGCCCAACAGCTGGGTAAAGGTGAAATAACGTACATTTTTGTTACACCTTTTACCACATAATGGTAATGAAAAATGGTCTTCTCTTTCAATTTATTATTTATTTTATTCTTCCTCCAAGGCAATATTGGCTTTTACGTATTATCCTGTTGACTATAAAAGTTGCCTGCCATCGAATCATGAAAATTGGCAAAGATCCTGCCAAAGCTGTGCTATTTATTCTTGCAGGAATGTGAAGGAGCTGATTCTCTCCATTTAATAAACAATCTGTATCCAGCCTGCTTCATAAAAAGGATTTTGTTGATTTCTGCTAATTTTATTAAGCCCTCCAATTTTTTTGAAAGCACTGTTTAGAATGTTCTGCTCACAAACTTCCTGCACATTACTCCAATCTGTTACTGTTTTGTTGGCCATATCGTGTCTACTAAATGCACATTTTTTTAATGGTAATTTTTTAATGCACATTTTTTTAATGGTAGGATCCCATAACATTGCAAATAATCCATTGCTTACAGTTCTATAGAAGGCATAATCCAAATTTTAAATAGTGGTTTTCAAAATGTCATGAAAAATGCAGCAATAACAGTGAAGTTATATCCTTATTCATGAAAACAAAATGTGGCTTAACAATAATCAATTGAGTTAACATCTAACAAAGCATAGATGTTGTGAATGTGTTATTTTGTCACTCTTATATAGAACTGGCACTGAATCATCCTGCTTGGCAGCAATTTCATGGTTGACAAGCTATTATCTAGTTACCATAACATTTAAGACCTACTATAGGCAAAGTAATTCTAGTGGATTCATGTTTTTGCAAACTTTTATTCACAGTTTAAAAATTTTAACAAACTGGAACCGTGGCTGTAAAGAGCCTTTTTTTTTTTTTTTTTTTTTTTTTTTTTTTTTTTTTTTTTTTTATAAACTTTGAACTGCACAAACTTTTTTTTTTTATATATGTGTATGTGTGTGTCTCTGCAAGTTTATAAAACAAAAAACTGTTAGCTGTATTTGTCATATAATTAGTAATATCTAGTAAAATAGAAACATTCTACTATTTTTTTTCACTGTTTGAAAATTATGTCTTTAAGGTTAAGTTGTTTGTTATGTGTATTTATAGTAATCCAGTTCATCATTCATCAAAAGACCAGTCTCTAACACCTGAATTATCAAGAGAAAACCAAACTATTGATATCATAAACCTTGACGATAGCAGATCGTGTGATGATCCAGAATATACTCAAAATGAGGAGGATGACTTGCCATCTGTTGATATTATAGAAGAGACAAAAAATGACATGAAAGGGTAAATATTTTTTAATTATATGCAATAACCTCTGTGATGTTACTCACAAAAAAGTTAGTGATTTGAATTTTAAAAGAATATAAAATTATTTTAGTCATTCATCTGGAATGTTCTGTGGTTTTTCAAATCAAAGCATGCCTTCTTCTAATTGTTTTGTTACTGCTTAGGAGTGATCTTGACTGAAGCAGATATGTAAATATGATCTCTTCTGCTCGTGTTATGTAATTCTAGCATGTGTTGTGGCATAATTTTATGCACTGCAGTCCTCAGAATGGAGAAACCAGAAATTAATTTTCGTCATATTTTGCTGTTTTATTATTTAAAAAAAGGCAAAAAAATACTCTAGTCAGAGGGCTTGTAAAATTTTTGCTGTTAAGAAGACATAGTTCGAAGATGGTTTGAAAAATTTAAATGCAGAAATTTCATCCTCAAAAGATAATGCTCACTGTGGACAACCATCATCTGCAAACAAGAACCAATTAAAAGAATAATGAACATTTAACAGGGATTTTTTTTCTGAAAGTCCATGTTACATGTTCATACATCGAGAAGTATCAGACAGGCTAAATATTCGGAGAAGTGCAATACATGATTATTTGAAGGAAATTCGGTATGTAAGCTGCTGCGATGTGTACCCCGTATTACGAGAGAGCAAAATATGCTTGCTGAAATTTCAGCATGTGATTGTTTGCTAAAATGGAAGAATAAAGATTTTTTTAATGGGCTTATTACTGAATATGAGAAGTGAATACTGTACAAGGATGATGGAAGAAAAAAGAGAGATTGCTGACATCCATACAATGAGAGTTCGTTCTAAACATCACGCATGGCTTTCGTACCACCTCCAGCTTAGCCCTCAATGTCTTGGCATGCATTTTGCCACTACATCTTAAAGCAATTTAAGAGGCTATTTGCTGTTCAGTCCTTTAACTCGGAAAAAGCATCAGCTTCGAGGATTGCATCTATTCTGCAGGTGATTACAAACAACACGCTTCTCCATACAAGAGACATCCAGCTGATCCCCATACCAAAATAAAAATCCAAGAGAACATCGACCCCAAAAACAAAGGAATTGAAGCTTACACTGATGGATCAGAAATTGAAGGAAAATTCGGATGTGCAGCATTCTTTTCAGTTCAACAACATTTAGACTCTGAAATAAAATGAAAAGGGTACTTAAACAACTGCAATAGCCAATCCCGGATCTAGCGGGGGGGGCAAGCCGGGGTTCTTGCATCGGGCGGCAAATTCAAATATAACGTTGGATCATATTTGGTATGTTGTTCACTAAAACAGCTCTCTGATTTTAGTACAATATTAATAGTTTAAAGGCCAACTTTAAAAACTTCTTTTAAGAAGATTTATAATTAAATATTAAGAACCCTTTTAAAGGAACAGGAGTTAAAATAAAGTTAAGTACAGCCGATTACAACTATAAATTAAGATCAGAAAGAGGCCAATAGATGGACTCCAGGTGTCACTGATAGAATCAGACTGACCCTATCAGTAACGTCTGAAGTCCCTCTATTGTTTCCTGTCTGGGTGGGATGTATTCAAATGAGAAATAGAATGATAGCTTGTTGAAGAAGTCGCCTGGTTTTCATAGCAACATCTGCTGGGAAATGGAGAAGCATTGTAACAATTTTCTAAGAACTAACCCAAAAAAATTAACCTTGGGCCATCCTGGACAAATGGAATAATGCAAATTAGTATTCGTTGGGTGTATACAAGACACCATCATTATGTCTTCAAGATGAAGCAAGGCATTTAGATTTTTTTGCAGCCAGTCGGCAAATTAGGCTCGTCTTTGGTTTGTTTCGGAACAGTGGATCGCATTTTGGATTTTAAAGCTAGATTTATTATTTTTATGCTTTCTTTTTAGTTTTCAGGTCTCTTCTGTACTCTTTTATTGGTCCTTTTTTTTTTTTTTTTTTTTTTTTTTTTTTTTTAGATATGCTTGCTTTTAATAGCCCGCACTACATTTAGCGAGACACGGCCATTTATTTAGGATGGTTCAGTGTACTTACGTCAATTCTTAGTTATTCTTATTAAGGCAATTCATAGTGAATTTCATTAAGATTAAAAGAAAACATCTGCGCGCCGAGGGGGAGAAAAGCGGAGTATAGTAAATGAGCCAAAGATAAGGCCAAACAGAGAAAACAAATTTCAGCTAAGATGAAAAAATAACTCCACAGAAGAAGTAAACCGTCAGACCTTGCCGCAGTTCCGATTATGCTGAGATTCTAGAGGGTATTAATATTTCTTGCAATTTGCACGATCAAACATGACTGCATCTATCATCCCCAAACAATCTACAAAGCAGCATTTGAAGGAACAACCTTCTTCATCGACATCACATGAATAGCTGGAGGACATGAAACCATGATATAAAGATCTCTTCATTTATATAGGGGCAGGCAGCAGAAAGGCGAAAATCTAAAAATTTTTTATTTGTTGGACCTATGCAGGTTGTAGAAAAAAATGAACGATCACCAACAATCTTTCTTAAGCAGTCAGTCAGTATTATTAGCCGGTAAAGACCCAGAAAACGTAAACCTCAATCCTATTGAACGTGAGAGCAGAGATTTGACATCTGATACAGAACATTAGTATATAATGAAAAGCTTAGAAGATCTTGGCTTACATATTCTAAAAATAAGAATGCAATTTTTTGTACACCCTGCAATATTTATCAGAAACATGGTGCTGCCGCTACACCATACTACAGACTTCATTAATTGGAAAAACAAGTTTTAGGCAAGATTAACTGAGCATGAATCATCTGGAATCCACAGAGGTGCATAATCAATAACGTGGAAAATTACGAGAGGACTACAAATGAAATCTTGCCAAAGGCATCGATCTTGACACTGAGCGACTCATTCACACAGAGAAAGAAAAATGGAGAGAAATTCTATATAGTCATGGATATGGCACAGTGTATCTTTTCAACAAATTGCTCGTTCTTTTTCTTGGGTCTGATGAATATCCCAAGTAGCATGTTCATAAAAGTGTCCTCGACCTAGTGAAGGAAATTTTCTGAATTTAATCTTCTCCACTTGCCAAACATAATTCAACTTTTAGTCAAATCTCCAAACAAAGGGAAAGGAATCATATTTATCAAAGATAATTCAAAATGAAGTTATTAACTTAAAGACAAAACAGTCTGAAGTAGCATTTTAAATTACATTAAAGAAGCCAAATACTACACAATAATGCTCAATTGCATTCCATATGTGCCTCATACAGAAAAAAATGAACCAGGTGATTCAATACGTAAAAATGTGTGATGTGTGTGAGATAAAGAAAAATTTAATTGATTTCATAGAAGTTGGTGAAAAGATAGGAAAATGTATTTCTGAATGCATTGTAGAAAATTAGTGTCTTGACACTTGATGGTTGAGATATTGGACAATGTTGGTGTCAGTCTTACGACAACTGGCCTAATATGGCTGGCATTTCTAAAACAGTACATGCTAGGATTACAAAAATGAATAAGCTGGATGAATTTGTGCCATGTGTATCCTCGTATCTTGTCTGTGTGCATTTTGTTTCTTCGTGGCCGGAAGCAGTTAATCTGTTTGGAATTACTCAGGAAATACTTTTTTTTTTTTTTTTTTGTCGGATGCACTACTTGATGATATATTATGAAAAAATGTACAAAACGCAACTTAAAAGGTGACAGCTAGACGAGATGGTCGGCAAAATATGTGGCTGTAAAAGTCCTTCTAATGAATTTACCAGAAACATGAAATATTTAAAAGAAATTAAAGATATTTCCTTTGATACGAAATCAAAGCACGAGGTAGAACATTTGTACATGCTGTGAAAAATTTTGAATTTACTATCAACCTGAAAATTTGAACTAATATTTTTCCAGAATTCAATCGAGTAAATATAAAAATTCAAAAGGAATTCCTTCTCCATGTTCTGTGTAGTTAACGAATAAACTGTCCAAAACTGAGGAATTATAAAAAAATGAGAGGAAAATCCTATGGAATATTAGATACAAGAATCTGAAACAGTAGCTGAAAGAAATGCATTTGAGTCTATTCTGACAAAAAACGATTTCCAAAGCACAAAAGTAATCTGATGAACTGTTTGAGGAGAATCACAACACTTCACCTGGTTTAGATTGAAGTTACAGCAAATTAAAACATATTAAAAAATATCTACGATCATCAGTGAGCCAAGGAGCGTTTATCAAGCCTTCGCCGATTATGGAAAACCAAAAATCAAACCGCAGATCAAATTATGATGATTCAATGCGCTTATTAGCAGAACAAAAGGCTTACAGAGTAAAATTTTAATTTTTGTTACTAATTCCGTGATATTTTAATAGCGTTAAGACAGGTAAGAATTTAAAATTACTTTTGAAATAGAGAGTATGAAAAACAAGACAGGAAGCACGAATACTCTCAGTAATAGCCCATATTCTGTATAATCTTTTCAGAATATTTCCTTTTGGCAGTAACCCATATTTTGTATGCAGTGACCCTATTAGTGGCTGAGCAATAAAATTCGTTGAACACTAGTAGTTCGGTCCAAGGGTCAAGTATATGTGAATGTGCTGGCTGTATGAGCATTTCCGTAATTTTCCCCGTGTGTAACATATATACGAGCTAGCTTCCCTTACAAATGTTTTTCCACTGGGCATTCCTTCTTTTCCTTGCAGTGCGTAATGACAAAACACTGTAATTCATAAAATTCAGCAGATGTAACCTTCTAACACCCCAAGTACAAAGCAAGCAGCTATAAGAAAAGGGATGCTTCATTTGTTGATCCAATTTTTTGTTTGCAGTAATTTCTTTTGATATCATGATTATTATCTGCAGGAGTTCCTTTGTTGTGTTTCTCCTAAATTGTAATATCAGGGTCACTCCTTTTCCCTGAAAATGTATAATGGTTAGTTTTTGTTGTCTGAATGTGTGATTGATTATTTAATGAGGTGTTAAATGAATTGATGTATGTGTAAAAACCTCAACAGTCATCTTTTTTTGTGTGTGTGCCTTTTAGATTTGCTTGTACAGTTTGCGGACATGTGACATCAAGTTCACAAAGGTTGAGGGAACATTTAAGCCGTCATACTGGCATAAAGCATCTCGAGTGTGAAATCTGTGGGAAAAAATTTGCATGGCGATACTCTTACCGAAGTCATATGGTAAAATAATTTATACCATTACTTGAATATATATTTTTTATTATATTTTGTTTTATTTAATTTTACGTCTTTGACAGTGTGTGCATTTTCTAGTGCCTAAGAAAAATAACAAGTATAAGCGTAATTGATAAACTCCAAAGATTCATTTCACATCATTAAACAGTAAAAATGTTTTGATTTACAGTGTGGAATCAATTAATGGAAAAGATGCAGGATTTAGAGATATTTAAGAATATTGTAGTTTAGCTAAATTATTTTTTAAATGAATCCTGTGAGTATTTAATTTTTTTAATGACATTCAGGTATCTTTATAAGATTTAAGGTGTCATCATTATATCTTTAATGAAAGAATGCTTTTTGACCTGAAAGATATCATATGAATTTTGAATGAAAAATAAATACATAAACTTGTAACCATTAACAACAGTTGAAATTTTAAGAACCTTAAAAAATGAAATTCATTACAAATATGGAGCCCATTAATAACAGTAAAAAATACTGCTGGTTACTTTTAACTAGTTAGTATATGTAACATGTAATATTCATGGATCTTGCATGCTTTTGTTGAGTGTGTGAAGTTGGGCATGCAGATTGATTTCCTTATCAAAAAATATATTTATTCCAGATAAACCTCAGCAGCAAATAAATAACATGAGGTCCTACAAAAATAGGACTGCTAATGACTAATTATAGTATTTACCACCCAATAAAAGGAAACTGTACATCAAATATGCACTTCAAAACCTGGTACTACTAAATTCATCAGTTGACATTTCTTACAGTGTACATTGCATTCATTGGGGTCAGGAGGGGTTGATGCATTTATTGATATTTTGTATTCATTGGGCCTTTGAATATTTTGGCACTTAAATTTTTTAATTAATATGTATATCCTTAAAAAACAATAAGAGTGGCTCTAATTTTTTTTTTTTTTGAAAACTATTCATTACTTCCACAATCAAATGGTACATGTAACTTTAGTCTCTAAATTATGTGCTTCTGTCTCTACTTTGCTGTTAATCATGGTAATGTCTTCTAAAAGAGAGTTGTCCCTCATGAGCCACAACAACATGCCAAAAGTTTTAATCTAATATGCAAGCTGCTATTTATCTCTAAAAAAGTTGGTGGTTTGAAGATAAAAACTTGTATAAATATTAAAGCTTCAAGAATATGGGAAAAAAAAAAATTACAAGACTTTGCCCATTTAAAAAAGGGCTGCAACCAAAATTTGATCATTTCTCCCATCAGTGAAAAACAGTGAATAAAATTTTTCACTGTTATCTCAATTAACCAATGTAATTTTAAAAGTTTAATTAAAGCATGAAATTTAACAGGAAATTAAATAATTAGCTGAGAGAAAGAAGTCTCCAAAGATATCACTGTCATTCTAGTAATGTTTTCTTGCTGAATGTGCAGTTATAAAATGCATGCTATATTTGCATTAAATTGTTACTAGGATTTGAGCAGTTATTTATTTTACTCTTGTTTCTAAAATCTTCAGATCACTTGATCAATTTCTAGATATTAACCACTTGCACTAAAAAGACGTGCCACGCACGTCGAGATGATTTTGTCTCAAACCGCACGCAAAAATGAAAATAATGTGGTGCACACGTCGCCTAACAACGAGATTGTTTATTTTTCGAGTTACAGCACTGGATTGCACTTGCAGACGCAGAGCGGTGTAAATGAGACTCTTTACCACTTGTTATATTGTAGCGCACAGCACCGCAACCGTGAAGTTTAGTCATAGCGCAAGTGGTTAAACAAAGTAACAGAGGCAATTAATTTTAAAGAACAAGGTAAAATGTGCATACAAATTTTCAACAAATCTTGTTATGTAAAAGGAGGCATCCTATGTAAAGGGATAAATAAGCAAGCAATGCTTCTCTCAAAAGGTGTGGCAAATGCAGTGTGGTACAAGGCCATGCTATGAAAGGGAATTTTATGACCTTAGACTGTCAGTTTTAAATAAACAGGAGCTTGAAATAATGAGTTATATAGTGCGCTTATGCTGTAGATATCTGTTAGTTCCTTTTACTATCAGGTAGAAGAATGTTTATACAGTTGTGTTATTTTTTTAATACCATGAGAGAACTGATCCTAGTCTTATTTTTATTTATAGGAATAGGAACATTTTGATAGTATCAAGCCTAAATTTTGAATATCCGTTTGTAAGGACAGAATTTTCATGATAAAACAAAATTAGACTGAGCTACTATGGTAATAACTATATCTAATTTTTTGGTGAATGCGCAGAATATGAGCTGATAATTTTTTTGAAACTGAGGCTTTGTACAGCTTTTCTTAATAGAATTGCTTAGTCTTTCATATCTGAACAGCACCTGTAAAATTGATTCACCTTGGAGCTTTAGGCATTTAGTAATTCTGTGTCACTGTAAACTTCTACTGAAATCATCTTTGTCACTTTTCCTGTTCTGAACTTTCAAACATTTCAATATTTATAACTTTATATAAATTGCAAACATTTCAAAATTTATATCTTTTTTTATTTTTAACTGCAGGTAATAATTATGGTATAGCTTAAATCTGTCAGTCTGTTGTTACAATTCTTTCTCTTTCTTGTGTGGATGTTAAGCACGAATTGCTAGAAGTTTATCAAATATATGCTTTTGCACCATCATTTCAGCTATGAAATTGCTGCCAGTATGTGAAGTAATGAGTGGGGAAAATTTATTTGTCAAATGCCAGTTATATTGGCCGTTAGGCCATTAAACTCCTTCCTTGCCAATAGTGCTGAAATCTACCAGAAAAATTTGTCAGTGCTTCACACTCGTCCAAATGTTCGCCGTCATTGGCCGTCCACTATTACATAAAACACATGCCACTTGAGTGGGGGGGGAAGTCAGGATGTTTTAAAATTGTACAAGTGTTCTCAATCATGCTGAAAATTATATAATACCTATAAATATCATTTCTGTTCTCTAATTTCAGTCAACTTCCAGGTATTAATTCTTGAATTTTACTCAAAGAAAGATCCATTATTTCCAAGAACAAGGTCAATTTGGATATGCAAATTGCAGCAAAGATTTGCTGAGTTATTGAGTTCGAATTCTCAATAACTCAGCAAATCTTTGCTTGCAACTCAAACATGAGTTGGAATTCATTTTTATAATGCGTGCCCTGAATGCAAACTAGGGTTATTCATGACTAAATTTTTCTTAATTGTGACTTATATGTACAGTACCTGCTGCTTATTAAAATCACTTCCATTCCAAACACATTTGAGTTTAATTGACGGCGATTTGAATATTGCAAATCGTGACATCAGTTTTAAACTTTGCAAGTAAAATAATAACTAACAATCAATTCACTAATTAATCCTAAAATTATACTGTATGCAATTTTTAAATTCACTTTTAATTTTTTATAAAAATATTTTTATGATTACATTCTTGATGAAATTTTATCTCTTGCAAACAACTATTCCATCCGTGGTAGTTTCATGTTATTCAACAACAGTTTTTCAGTTGTATTCTCAATTTTGTAAAATTGCTGGTAGCTCTTCTAATCAGCACCAACAGTTCGAGAAATTTTCAGAGAATTTGCAGTTCTTTTCCAGATTCGATTTATATCATCATTACCATAACCTTTCTCTATATCCCGTTCATCTCTTTATGCCTTTCTTCTAACACTCCTGCTGGCAGTTTTTACACGTTGTTTCAATATTTTTGCAAGTTGGCAAATATAAAAATGAATCTTCATAATTTTCTTGACAGATGTCTCAACATAGCTGCAGCATGCAATTCCTCTAAAGCTTCTTCTACATTAAAGCATTATTTTTCAAAACAGTTTTTAACTGATTTTAAGATTACTCCCTACCCCCTGCATTGATTACAATATGCAATCCCTCTAGCAGAGATATTGACATATTTTCTTCCTTTTCCCAAAATTCAGTTCTGTTCATCATTTTCTATAATGACATTTGAAAACTTTTTTAAGATCCTAATCAGTGCAACTGAATATTAGAAGTTGTACTTGCAGGAAATGACACTAACGTTTTTCAAAAAGAGGTGAGAGGTGTGTGCTGTACAGTTATCAATTCAGTAAAATTATTTTTATGTTTTTCAGTTTGCTGTCCCATTTCAAAAGAAACTCCGTAAAAACAGCACTTTCTGATCCATGAGTTCTCGTTGGTATAAGTTAGTGATAAAGGATTCTTGACTTCGTTCAAACATTGAGGCTTTCTGTCAACAACCAGTGCTGTCCTTAATTGTTTGATCCATATTGCATTTTAATAACATAATAATTCATTCCTTCAATTTCTGAAACAAGTTGCTTTTTTACTTTTAAATATTAATGAGTTTTCTGATGATTCTTTGTAATGAATTCCAGTTTTGTTTATATTATCAATTTTTTGTGACTTTGTTCATTTAGCAACTCAAGTAAAACATTATATAGTTATCAATTGCATGAGGATCTGCCTCTCCTTTCTCACCACACAAGTTCTGATGAAAAATTTTAGTCGGTCAGTTGATATAAAATTGTCCCCTGGTGTTTAGTGAATTAGTGAAAAAAAAAAGCCCTGGATGTAGAGAAAACACTCTCATGTTATTAATGTTAATTGTTTTATAACTTGGAACCATTCTAAGAAAACAGTTTTATTGGCTTTTTCCCCACTTCCATGAAACATTTTCATTTTTTATTAGTTCATCATAAAGTATGATTCATTGTTTAAGTAAATTGCACAATGCTCTATGGGAAACTGCCAGTTTAAATGCAGTTTTTCTTTGGCTTTTCAGTTACCAAAATCATCAAAATCTCTACAATTTATCCCCCCCCCTTTTTTTTTTTTTTTTTTTTCAGGCTTAAGTCTTTGGCATTTTTGACTTGTTACAACTGAAGTGCACAACAGATTTTTAAAAAACTGCTCCTTCCAATGATACATTCAAATTTTAGAACTTAAGTTTTTGGCCAGCACAAACATTGACCATTATCTATTTAGTTGAATTACAACTTCATCATTACAAGCATGACTAATGCTTTCTTTGATTCTTCTTCAGCCTACAGTTATCATTTCCATTCCATTCAAAGGCTTTGCATGCATGATAATGGTAGCATTTTATGAACTTTTTTTAGTACTCTCTTCGAACTTAATGTATCTAACTCAGAGGGAAAATTTTGAATGTGAAAACTTTGAAAGGTAGAATACAAATGTTGCACTTCCACCACCTATGAGCTGGTATTTGAGGTATACTCATTTACAATCATGTACAGTGCCTCTAGAACAGGAGTTCTCAGTCAGAGAGTAATGTGGTCAGCTTGACTCCACCTGCTTCATACTGTGCCATTAAAAGATTATCAATTCTAATTAAATGTACATGTATTTCTTGCATTTTGGAAAGGGGGGGGATGGTTTTCTAGCAATGGTGAATGAGGTGGGTAGGACAGAAAAAATTGAGAACCACTGCTCTAGAGCAGGGTTTTTAAACGTTTTTCAGTCGCGACCCCTTTTTATCGCTGAGATTATTTTTGCAACCCCAGGGCCCCATAATATTTATGAAAATTTTGTGTGACCCCGTAAGTATTGCAAAAATCCGTCACACGCGAGAGTGAAACTGTCAATTTTTTCACTTGTACTGTATATACTATCGCAGTTTTAGGTCATTAACTTTGATTTCTAATTTTAAAACATCGAACAATGGGAAAATTTTAAATAAGTAACAGACGAAATTGACAGCGTCACGTGCAAAGCAAGTAAAATGAACGTTATAAAAAGAGTGCATCGAAACGTTTTCATTTTTTCTTTGTATTGTCTTTTCTTTACCCATTTTCAAATACATTGTGTAAAAATATTTGTTAATTGTAAAATTATTGTAATAAGTTAAAGAAATATCAAAACTGCTAAAATTTTTGGCGACCCCTGCTGCAGATTCCGCGGCCCACAGTTAAAAAAACCCTGCTCTAGAGGATTGTTTCTGTCTACTTTAAAAGAAGAAAATTTTGCCCATTTTAAGTCAAGTGCTGACAAAGGACACTGAAAATAGAGTCTCACAGAATAAAAGACTGGGGGATTGGTAAAGTTTGATCAAAGCCCTTTTATTGAAGCATTATCTACCTGAACAATAAAGCCACAGTCCACAACGCATTAAAATGATGAAAAGTTTTAACAGGCACATGTAGGATATTCTGCTCTGAAAAATCAGTCTTTTGTTAATCTGAGTTTTATAAATGGAGGAGATGAGTTTAATAAATGACAGTTTTTATTTTGATTAAAATATATTTGTTTTAATGCCTGGAAATTTGAATAGAATACCCACTGGATTTATTAACCAGTGAATTTAATAAGTAGCAGACACTGTACTTTAATATCTGCAGTATAAATTATTGTTGCTAGTTTACAAACCAGTTAAACTACTAGGAGAAAGATTTATTGTGGATTGTTATAGCATGATTCTGCATGATTCTCCCAACTGATGATGATCTGTTTCTGCATGATTCTTCCAACATTATAAAGTAAATTTTTTATTTGCTATGTAATTTTTTTATGTTTAGGTTTCTCATATGGAAGATAATCCTAATAAATGTACAGTATGTGGCAAAAGATATTGTAATAAGTCAGCCGTGAAGAACCATATGCTAAGAATACATGGGAATCCTAGCAAAGACTTTAAATGTGAGAAATGTGACAAAAGATTTGTGACAGAAGCCGAGCTTAAGAGACATGGTTTTAACCATACGAAGGAAAAGTCCTTTGTATGTGAATATTGTGGAAATGCATATCGATATAAAGGAGCTTTATTAGTGCATTACAGAATTCATTCTGGTGAAAAGCCTTATAAATGTGGATTTTGCGATAAAGCATTTATACATTTATCTTCAGCAATTGGTCACCGTCGGAGACACACTGGAGAAATGCCTTATCAATGCAAAGAATGTGGGAAAACATTCAGAGTCAAAAGGGCAATGACTGCTCATATGTCTGTGCATAATGACAAAAGACAATTCAAATGTAATGAGTGTGGCAAAGGTTTTAAATCCAGAAGTGGATATCGTGTTCATTTAGATTTTCACCTTGGTGTTAAGAGGCATGCATGTAAATACTGTGGCCGAACCTTCCGAGCTTGGTGTAATATGCACAAACATGTGAGAAGGCACCTGGGAGAAAAGCCTCATAAATGTGAATTATGTGGTAAAACATTTATTGAAAAACAAGAATTAAAAAATCACATGAAAAGTCATAAAGAAAAAAATCAGAAATCAAAAAATGTAAAATCTGCTGGAAATACTTGTGAAAGTAATTGTGCTGAAATCCTACCTCCCCCATCAATGACTTGCTCTTCTGCAAGTATCAGCTCTTCAAATTTCACTGGTACACAACATGCAAGTGAAATAATACCTCATATTGACATTTCTGACAGTCAACCAGTAATGTATGATTGCAATCTTCCAAGTTCCTTAGATAAAAACTCCCCTGAAAAATGTCAGTTACTTCAGGATAATTTTGTATCTCAGTTTTTGTATTCTCAACAGTCTTCTGTACAATATTCTTCTCAGTCTTCATCTGTTCTAAATATGTATCCTTCGATTGAATCTGGGCAAACATCATCGAATAGATCCGCATTCATTACCAATATGAATTCCACTAATTTTAACTGTGTGTCATTAAATAACCAAAATTACAATACATTTTCATATGGTCTTCCAAATTCAGATAGTATTTTGTCAAAATGTAAACTGTGTCGTAGTCTTTTTAATTCTATTTTGTTATTGCGAAGTCATTTGTTAGATTATCATAGAATTGAAGAAGAGCACATTGATGAGTTAATGGCATAAATTCTGTAGAAGTTATGAAATATGAAAGGCCAGCCACTAAAGATATTTGTTTTTCCAGAACAGTAAAAGTTGAGTTTATTTTAAACTCCATCTCTTAAAATGAAAATTAATATAATGTATAAGACCAGGGATGAAAAATCTAAAATGTTTGGTTTTGCCAAACAAAGTAGAAGCTGAGTTTTAGTCTTTCCCCAAATAAACTGTAAATGCATATATAAATGCAAAATGCTTCAACTTTAATGGAAAAAAATTATGAAATCGAGGCTGAATTGTGATTTTAAGATAAATTCCACATAAAATTGTTTGTGTTTGAAGAAAGAAAATTTTTTAACAAAACTACATCCAGGAAATTCATCCAAAAATGAATGCTCAGCTAGGCAACATTAAGTTTTTAAATAATGTTAATAAAGAATGTACTTTAGAATTTATTTCTCTTTTATATATAAGAAATTACATAAGTGAATATTTCATGTCAAAAAGTAATAAAATTATTTCTGACATACTTTAAAGTTAAGTCAGAAATATGGCCACATATTAGAAATAAATGGGTGCATCCTGGAAAGACTGCTCAATATCAGATATTAAACAAATTATATTAATTAGTAGGAGTTAGCATTGTATGTCTTTTATAGCCATATTATTTGCATATTAACTTTGTTAAATATTGCATATCATATAAATAAATAGGTAAACATAATCATTACATTTGATCATAAACTTTGAATTAGAAATCCATGTAAAAACAAATAAGAATTATATTATAGAGTCCCAATTCAGTTTTCCTTGGTCTGTTCCAGGCAGGGCCTAACTGTAGCTTGCAAACCTCATGAGATTCTTTCATTCCTTAAATGCAACTCCACTGCAACAAGCAGTAATTTTATTTTTGAAATGCAGTTGCATTTTCAAATAGAAACCATGCAACAACAAGTTTCTTTATTAATTAGTAATGTAATTTCTTAATTTATACTATGTGTTTAATAATTTAATCCATTTCAAACTGTGTATTGTCCCCTAATTATCAGAACAACAAACACAGTTGCAAGTAATTGCATTTCTATGAATTACTGGGTTCCCTGACAAAAGCCCAGTGGACAAAATCACATGCAAAAAAAGCCCACCAAAAAACCCCACTGTGGTAATTGCCCACACAACAAATACCCATACCGATAAAAAGGTGCATGGATACATAATTTTTATCACTATAAAATGTATACATGATTGTAATTATAGTAGATAGAGTATTTAGATTTGATTTTCAACGTCTCAAAAATATATCTGCTTGTATATTTTATCATAACTTTATTTGTTAATTTTTTTATGTAGCAAACAAACTTTCTGCTTTCTAATTAGGTAATCAGCTATAATGTTTCGATGATAAAACTGAATATGTATTTTATTATTTATTTATTTAATTTTGGTATGTGTACGCCAAAATGAAAACTATCATAGTGAAGTTCCTCACATACTATTTTTTGGTATGTGCCTGAGATTAACCATAATTATGTTTCATTCCTAAAGAAATGAAGGAAATGGTATTTAATCAAAGAACCTCAAAAAAAATATTTTACAGCTATGACAGCATATTTTAAGCCACTCTTAGCTCTTGAACTAAAATGTTAAGTAGTAACTTCTTGGACTTACCTATGCTGACTAAAAGCGGCATTTCCTGTATTTAATTGTTATTATTAGAAATCAAATTAGATGCCTATATCAAGAAATGTATGAAAGAAATCGTTAATCTTCGTTGTCAAGAATTTCTTTCATTTTAAAGAGAGATTTTTTTTTATCTCTCTTATTTTTATTTTATTTTTAAATGTGACATTGCAGAGAGAGGATATAAGCTTGTGTGAAAGTGCACATTTGCCTGCAGACTACCAGCATGCAGTGCTTGAACTATATCTTTGAATGACTATGCTAAAAAAGATAGTTGCTCAGAAAATGAATCACTACAACGATTTTCTTAGCATCCCGTGGATAAATTTTTTACAATATAACTAATTTTTTTTAGCTTACACTTCAGCGATTTCTTGATAGGGACAGTTACCTTCGAGATCTCTGTGATAATCTTTATGAGTTTTTTAATCAATTAACTGCACATTTGAGAAGTTTGCATTAAAAAATACTATGTATTATAAACTTATGACAAACTAATGTTCATCTTTCTCAAAAATAAATTTTCCAGGAATCTAAGTTTTCTAAAGAAAAGTTAGTCTTTTCTCAAACTGTTTTGAAATTATTTTCGTTATTTTCCTTTTTTTACAAGTTTAAATCAGACAATATCCCTATTCTATGCTCCTGATGTCCTTTGTAAAATTTTGAATATGAAACAATTTGTTTATCCCTGACCTTTTGGGTTATCTAAGAGAAAACATGCTTTCTTTTGGTAATTAAAAAAGTGTGCTTAGAAAAGTAATTAATTTTTTATAAATACAGTTTAAAATTTTCTCTCTGGAATAAACTGAAAAATAGTTTTTTTTTTTTTTTTTTTTTCCAAATTATGCTTTTTATTCTGTGTTTTAAAGCATTTAATACACTAAATGCCAAAATTTTCCTCTCGATGACCTCTTGGTTGGAGCCGTAATAATTTTTATTCTAAATGCCCTTTAAATTTGCTTCACTAAAAGGTTTTGTATATTAATAACCATGGTATAGATAAGATAAATTTGGACATTACTCACTCCGCAAGACTTAACCACACTGTAAGTCCCTTCACCCCTTAGAACCAGGCACAGAGGTTCAACCACTGCCCTCGCACCTTAGAGAGAAAGACGCATCGTTTTTGCAACACCAGTCATTGTGTATGATTTACCTGCGAGTCGCTCAGGCTGCCCGTTGCAGAGGGACATTACCCAGCGTCCCTGGGTTACTAGAACCATCTGCTCTAGGACTTGCCAAATCCCAGGCTGGCCAATAAGTGACATTTCCGAAGTCTGAAGAACCACTAGGTTCATAGTTTGTATACCCCCGTGACAGACTGCGTAGGTACAGATCCTAGCCAGTAGTTTTCCAGAGTTCTCTACCTCGCCCCCCCCCCGGGGGTAACCATTGTTATGTAAAATTAACTGTTTCTTAAAAAGCATTTACAATTAATTGAGTAACATAAAATTTTTTATTGAATAAAAATTTATTTTTAATGTGCAAGATTACTTTTCTTACAATGCTGGGCTCATGGTTTGTAAGTTTTAATCTTAAATCCTCTTGTTCTTGAGTTCAGAATCTTTTGTTGTTTAAGTTATTTGAATGGTTAAATCCATTTCAACCATATAAATGTTAAACCTAAATTTTACCTAAATTTTAGTTATATGTAATGATTTAATTTATTAGAAATAGTCAAAAGTTTTACTTTGAAGCTATGTTTTTGCTTTCATATAACAGGCATGTTTAATTAGTTCATCAAAAACTTGTTAGAGACACTATCCAATCAAGAACAAGGATATTTTTTCACTCTGCAATTCTACTGCTAAAATAGTGAATTATCCTTTAAAATTGTTAAGAAATATTTTTAACTTATCTTCAGTAATATTTTATTCCTTTCATTTTCCAATTATTGAAAATTTTTTAAATATTTGAAATTCTAGTTAAATCTATAGATAAAAATATTTCAAGAAATAGACTAAAGAAAATGCAAGAAAGAGGTTTTTTAACTTTGGTTGCAGGCGAAATTTCAAATATGGTTCTTTTCTAGTAAATAACAAAAATGTCTAAAATCCTCTTTAATTTATTTCTCACCACCCTTTAATGGCTCTCTTGTCTCCTCCTTTCTTTTGAGACCCTTCTTTGGCACCGTAGATTCGAAAGGGGATAAAGCAGTTAAGAAAGACTGTCCTCACTTTAACTTCTTTTTCACTCAGTTTGGGGGGAGGGGAAGGTAATGTAAATGATTTTCCACTTGAAATGCCAGTGGTCAGTTATTAAAAAATACGTGACAAAAACCCTTAAAGATGAATGCCCACTTAAAAAGAATGCACATTTTCAGGAAATCCAAAATAGTTATGACTTCCTCAAAAATTTTGCAAATAATTATTATGATTAAATATGAAATTTTAAGTGGAAATGAAATTAATTTATGTAAAATCAAAGTAGTCGAAATTTAACGAAGTGTCAAAATTAACTTGAATCTAAGTAGTCAAAATTGAAGTTATTTGTAACCTTGCTTTGAATTTACCATTAAAACTTTATTTCTGCACACAAATGTTTTCCTAATCATAATAGAATAGGGTGCTTTTATCTCTTTCATTGAAATGTAAATTCAGCTTTAATTCTCTGTATTAAATTATTTATAAACAATATATAAATTATTCTCTGTACATGAGGAAAATATACATGTGTTTTATACTCCTTATAATTTTGTGGAATTAAAAGAAGCTGTGTGGCCAGCATTCCCTTTCATCTCTCTTTGTCGGACTTTTACAAGGGACACTTCCCTTTTTCACGTAAATATAATAACAGAGTTACACATAGATGCATGTTTTTAATTATATTCATTTTATTTTGATCAACTCTCTTTTCTATATACATACAGGGTTTAAATTCAGCTGGTGCCCAAAATAAAAATATGTTCCATTGCTTTAATTTATTGTTCAATTATTTGTTATTAATTTAATTTAATGAACTTATTTTTTATTTTATATTTTTTTCATGAATCTGCTTTATATAACTAAAAAATATTAGGAAAAAATATTAATTTCCACTTAGGACACATTGGTGTGGATTTAGTCAACATGGGCTTTTATTAGCGGGGCCTTATAACAATGTGGGCTTTTATTGATGTAGTTATTTGTCACCTGGGCAATTAACACAGTTTTTTTTTTTTTTTTTTTTTTTTGTGTGTGTGTGTGTGTGTGTGTGTGTGTGCGTGGGAGTTTGGTCATTGCATTCCTGCAATTGCCTTGTTACTTTCAGAGCAGGTAATAGTCATCGTGGCAGCATAAAAGCTATAAGTGAAAGCTGTTTTAGAAGTAATGTACTCTAATTGTTTTTTTTTCTCCTTGCAGGTTTTATTTTATTTCTGTCAGTTTCTCCTTACAGTCCTATATAGTTTCCTGTCTCAGAAGATTTGCAGTTTTTTGTAGGGTATTGCTTTTCTTCAGTAATTCCTTGAGTAATTCATTGAAGAAGGTAAGATGCAGTCCACACTTCAGTTATATTGAATTGGGGAAATATTTGAGGTTTGGTAAACTCGTGTAGATTTTATGGCAGATGAGGTTAATTGTATCATTTGTACTTGGTCAGCAGGTCTATAGCTCATTTTCCATTTATTTGATGTGCATTAATTAACATTCAAAATACCCATCCCTAAGCAAGTCAGGTGGTTTGGGCATGTTCTTATGCATAATTTTTGCACCCATTCACAATAATATGATGCAGTCGCAATTTTTCCAGTTGGAAACCCTTATCTTTCATGATTCTGTGATAATTCTAGACAGAGATCATCATTTGCTTTATCTATGATTAGCCACGTCAAAAGTTTTTGGGTTGTGGGAAGGACAGGCTTCTTCATTGGAATGACCTTAATTTCAGCTGTAGTACGGAGCCTAATTTTTGTCATTATATCAGAATAGTTATATCATTTAGGAATCCATCAGGAAGAAACATTTTTTTCCCTCCTTTCAAAGCTTATCTTAAAATACAGTATAATGAATACAAGTGGAATTGTTGCAGATTGATATATTTCTTTGCATGCTGTTTAACAATCTTCTTCCTTTTTAATCTGTTACAAGTATCGCTTTTCATTCACGTATTGATATTTCTGGTCTCTCTGGCTTTCAGTTATATTATACATCTGACATGTCCTTCACATAAGTGGGAAGCCCGGTAAAAAGCTGTATTGCAATCCATTGCCTAATTACCACAAATTTCATGCAATGCACTGTCAAATTCTGTAGGAGATTTTTGTCAGAGGAAGCTCTTATTTGTATTTTTATGTATTAACTACATATAAAAAATTTCATGTAATTTGTAGTTATTAAATAAAAAATGCAAAATTCTCATAAATTTTCTCCATGCATTTATTATCTATGTAAATATGGAATTATGGCTCTTGAAAAATGTAGTTGCATCTGTAGAAATTTCCTGAATTTTGAAATGTGGCTCCTACTGTCATGAAATTTGGCCATTCCTGTTGCATACAGACAGCTTTATGGTATGCATGCTAAGATAATCGGATAATGATTTCTGTCATTTAATTATTGATTCATTTTACTCCTGAAACACATTATTCCACTGGTACAAATAACACTGTGATTCAAAACTAGTGTTCAGACTCAAAAGTTTCATTCAGAATGTTATGAATACTGTTGGCTTTTGTACATCGTAATAATTCTCATACAAGTTTATTTTCTATCTCAAAGGAAAGGTAGGTACCATACTCTCAAATAATTTACAGTTCAAA